TGTTGACTCAAAATTGACTCAGATAAAAAAGTTGTTGAGCGGGGGGGGGGGGGGGATGAAAAAAATCCGGCAGCAGGGCCAGGCCTAAGTTGTTAAGCGGGGGGAGAATGAAAAGCTTATATATTGTTTCTAGAAAGATGAGTCAGCTGACTCATGTTCCTAAATGTTTTTGACTCAACTCAATGTCAAAAGTTATTTTACTGACTCAACTCTGATTCAACTCAACATCTCAACATTTTATCCGACTCGACTCAAACCTGACTGATCTGAGTCAGAGTTGAGTCAAATCTCTGACTCGACTCATGAGTCAAGCACAACCCTGGTTACGTTGTAGGTAGACACGATACTAGGCACTAGCTAAAGCTATTTATTTGTAGAACATGTGATCGGAACGTTCAAACAACCACAATTTTTCGCAAGTCATGGTCTCCTCTTTTTTGCTTTGCAATTGCATCTTAGCTTTGCTTACATGCAATTTCAGCGCTAAACCATTTTCATTTCACCGATAATTACCTTCTTCCTAAAACGCGATAACTTGCGATCTCCTGAAATGTGGTAGTCTGTTGGTACTATTTTCCCCCAAACAGACCAGTCTGAAAGCGCCTTTGCAACCACAGAGATCTCTATGTTTGCAACAATGTTTTCTTTGCAAAACCAGCACCCGTGGTTTGCGATCAAGTGGTTCATCCGTAACTGACGCTAGTTGAGAAGTAAGTCATAACACAGACAACACTGTATAGTGTATATGTTTTTGTTAAGCCTCTTCTGTCCTGTGTTAAGCCTATGGGGAAAAGGCATTGCTCGCTCTCTTGCACGTTGCAAAGAAAACCTGATTACTTCTGATGCAAACACTTATATCAGTTGAAGCGCAATGAAACTAGGCACAAAATAAGGGGCTTAAGGATGACTGGTTTTGAGTCTAACTTAACCCTCGCCCGTATTGGTGTTTTTCCAGCCGTGAACGTATAAGGGGGGGGGGGGTCCGTTGGACCCCCCCTTGCCGTTTCACCCCTGATCGAGCTAGAACTTCGCGGAAAAAACGAGCGTGTTGCCCGTGACGAGAGGAAGCCGATGATACCCAATTTTAAGGTCCTAGGTCATTGGTTGACCTTGCAGGTCAGGTCAATGACCCAAAAGTCGGGAAAATCGGGACCTGTTAGAACGTCGTAAAGTGTGGCTGCTATGGGGTTTTTCGGGGTGCTGATCACGAATATCATGTTAGTTTTGATCACAGATGATGTCTTCATGCATTTAGGCCAGGTCGGGTCAGGTCAGGTCAGGTCAACCAGTAAGGGTATTCGTAGTAGGTGGCAACCGCCTCTGACAGCTTCGTAACATGTTACGAAGGCACCAAAACTACTTCGTAAATGTTCATATGGTTGCTAAATTCGAATTCAGCTCCAAAAACTGGCCTAGAAACATGTAAAACTCGAAAAAAGTGAACCGAGGTCATCAAAGGTCAATGACCTGACCTGACCTTCAGGTGACCTTGACACCCACCCTAATGCATGGAGGCAACATCATATCACATGTTTGAACGCTTGAAACCACGAAAAGACTGCAAACGCGCGGCTAATGCGAGCCGACATACGCCGAATCGCGATTCCGGCCAAACATGGTCTCGAAAAGTAGGTCACAGGTCAAAGGTCATTTGGGTCAGGGTCATGAAATTTTCAGGGTAGGTGTAAAATTGATGAACGCGAGGGTACTGAAAGTTTCGTCGCGATCGGCCGCTTTTTACGCGAGTTATTCGCGAAAAACCATGGGGGGGGGGTCCGTTCGACCCCCCCCCCCTATACGGGCGAGGGTTAAGATATAGCTCATGAAGTGCTAGGATAGCGAAATCGCCTACTGTGCGACGGCTATCTCGGGAACCGATAGAGCTACAGCGCCGCGGAAAAGCGCATTCGATAGCTCTTTTGACGCTCTTACGCCAACATGTCCTCAGATTTGACCTCAGGTCATCGATTTAGCCTCCAGAGGGCAAAAACTCCAAAATAGCCGTTTTTTCGAAAAACGTTTTTTAATAACTTTTGACTCAAAAGAGCCATGACATTACTTTTGCCAGCATCGTGTTCCTCTCGTCGAGACGCGTTGAATGAACTATAATTTGACCTTAAAAGGTCAACTTGAAAATTTGACCTCAGGTCATGGTCATGACCTGACCGGAAAGGTCATGTTGCATATCTGTCGAATGTCGATCCGCAACATCGAACTGAACACATCTAAGGCGTTTTCATCGCTCTAGCATGCCTGTATCAGAAGTTATTAGCGAAAAACTGTTAGATTCTGTTCGTGACCTGAGATGACCTCGGGGACATAACGAGGGGTCACAGTTGCCATTTTCCGGTTCAGTGTGTCAATTTTATGTGCATCTCGGTGTTTGAGAGTGTCTAGAATGGCGTTCGTGCAAAACAGACGCTTTTCAATTTTCTCCCATTGACATGGAGAGGCCGTAAAGTTGACCTGACCTTAGGTCACAGATATCAAAATCCTGAGATAAACATTTTATAGATACTGCTACTCTTATCAATCGCTGAAAGTTTCAAGGCAATCATTCGGTCGGTGTAGCTCTGGCGAGCATTCTTATTTTTTTCTGCGGTGAGGTCACTTGGCGTGACCTGGTGACCTGACGGGTGACCTTAGGCAGCCTGGGTCTGAAATTTTAACAACATATGCGGAAAAGATGCACGAACGGTGCTAAAAGCCCCGCGCCGCCGCTTTTTTAGATATCTGTGAAAAACCGCGGGGGGTGTTCAAACACCCCCGGCCCGGCGCGGGTTAACACAACACGCGCAGTGGAAGGGGGGATTTCGCCCACTCCTCCTGTTTTTCGCCAATAACTCGCGCCGCAAACATAACATTAATGTGAAATTTCGGCTACCTGTCCAGAATTAAATTGCGGATCTTCTCGTGAAAAAAATAGGAAAATCGGTTCACAATTTTTCTAGTAATAGCGGTGTAAAGTCAAACATCCTGCCGCGGCGGCCGGCGCTAGCCGTTACGCGCCGCCTGAATTGTAGACTGTGCCGGGGCGGGACGGTTCCGTCTTTACATCGCGCTCCTTACCGCTGATTATATTAAATTCGCGTCAAATTTTGTGAGAAGACTGAGAAATGTGCAGGCAATCATATGGTCAAAGAATTTTGAAAATCGACCGGTAACAACTTGAGTTATAAGTGTGTAAACACAAAATTGTGATTGCCGCGTTTCTCGCGTCGGCCGATCCCGCTTCAGCCGGCGACATCTTACCCTTAGCAGGCTTCTATCTAACTGCCATATTCAGTAGTGGCGGAACACCTTCAATTAAGGGGGGGGGGGGGCAGCGCCGACTTTTGGTTCCATTCTTTCCATGCAACGCCCATAGAGCTAATGTTAAAATGCCAAAATCAAAGGGGGCACGGTGCCCCGGTGCCCTCCCCGTTCCGCCGCCTATGGCCGTATTTATTGTTGGATTAACTAGAAATTCACCATACGTACTCACAAATGTATGTTCTTTCGCAGTGGCGCGGGAACCGGGGGGGAGGGGGGCTAGCGGGGGCTGAGCCCCCCCAGCTTTTCGGCTGGGGGGGGGGGGGGCTCGTAATGTATTTGAGCCCCCCCCCCCCCCCCCAGCTGGAAGAATCGAAATCGGAAATCTACCAACATACTTTCATAGATTCATACATAGGCGCGGGAACAGGGGGAGGGGACAGTGGGGGAAGCTTGCCCCCACAACTCTGCGGCCGTGGGGGCGGTGCCCTACAACTTTTCATGATGCCAGGAACCGTTGGGCAGCTTGTCCACCCCAAATTAGGGGTTGTGGGTCACAAAGGAAGAAAGCATGTAAGTGAAAAAAACACCTCTTTCACTGGCTCGGCAACTCATTTGGCAGATTAAAACCTTTACTCCAGGTTGCCAAAACGGTAGTTTCTTCACTCAGCTGAGACGGAATACCCACTTTTTTGCAAATATTTTCGTTTTTTTTTTGTTGTTGAAAAGGCCAAGGTCTTAAAAAATAAGTGGCCTAAAACCGGTGAGAAAACTAGATTTGGGGGTACCCTAGGTTGATCTCTATTATGGTTCAGCCCCCCCCCCCCCAGTGTGGAAGAAGTGATTTGAGATTACTTTCCGCGCCACTGTTCTTTCGTATAGTGAAAGAAAAAAGAAAATCGGCCGGTAACTTTATGAGTTATCGGCGTACCTAAGGGGTTCTCTGACATATACTCCGTTTTTTTTTGTTGTTGTTGAAAATTTCCCCAAATTTAAAAAAATATCAAGAAGTCTGAATTTTGAGTCAGAAAATCTCTAGATCTAGGAATTTGTATGCTTGGGAAATTTCGAGGTAGCCATTTTCTTTGTCATACTTTTTTATCTACGGTCCATAGTTTTGAGGTGCTAAGTTGAAACTCTGATTTTCTGCGATTTTTCTCCGTGAACAACTTTTTCGACGAAAAATCGCCGAACATGGTCTCAGTTTGACCTCTATAGCTCGTGAACTGAGACGACCTGGGACCTGATTTGAGATGACTTGGGACCTGATTTTTTCAGGTGTGTAAAACTGATGTCCGGAGAGGTACTGAAAGTTTCAAGTCGAAATTCGCAGCCGTTTCTGTGTTATCTGCGAACAAACCACAGCTCAGGGGAGGCCCTTTACCCCCCCCCCCCCTCCCCAACGGTTCGCGGGTTAAAGTCGACCTTTCCCAAACAATTGTAACCAATTCGATGCGGCTGAGCATGGTAAGCACAACGATGACAAATGGCGACTCTGCGCCGTTTGACACTTTGGGGGATTTGATCTAACTTCAGAGACCATCCGCTTATCTGAACTAATCTGAACAATTCAATATACCCTGATCTGACCCTGATCTGAACCATGAACAAGATGGGAACCGGTCATGTGTAGTGATAGCGCACACGCTCCTTTTCCGAAGCTTTACATAGTTCAGTTAGGGGCGATGCGGCAAGGAAGGTCGACCCGCGCTCCCCTTCGGCTGGGGTGAAAGTAGAAAATCGATAGGTCCGGAAATGGTAAATTTATTACAAATACATCCAAAATGTTGCATCACATCAAATAGGCCAACACCATATTGCGATGCTATGACTTACAACTTTCAGGTGACAAATGACAAATAACTAGTTCGCATATCTACTGCTCTTTAGCCTCGACATAAGATCCCTGAAATGGCACGCGGATAGAAGGCTGCACAATTCACAGTAACGGTAGTTCACACCAGTGTCTGAGCGCTGCCCGGCAGCAAACTGAGGAAACGTACACCTCAGCCTAGGTGCACAGATCACATTCAATGCCTAGCTCATTTACATCACAACTGAAAACAACAAACTCTGCACTTGATGGCTGAGCTTAATGGTCCGTCTCACTTTTCTACAGATATTAGGTAACTCACAACTGGCGGTGCTGAAAAATAGGCATATTAAATTTCATCGATACAATCGTAGCTCAAAGCGACTTCAAAGGTGACTCATCAGAGAACCATTCCCACAAATGCTTCCGAAAATTGCACGCGGAGTGCATGGACTTGAGAGCCAACGGAAGGAAGTGTTGGAGCTTCTTAGAAAGTTAGCTTCCGGGTCGCTCAAACAGGACTTTCACTCAGCTATTGGAATCACATTTAGCGACATTAGACTTCCTACCCTGAGCTGGTCATTTTGTAACCCGAGGGGTTAGAACATTGGGACCAGAAAAATGTAATCAGGAGATTTCTACTTCAGTGGGCGTCCAGTGGCGGCGGAAGGTAATTTTGGATGGGGGTGCAGAGTTTTCTCAAAGGGCCCCTCTGGAAGTTTTGGGCCCCCCTTCAGTTTTTTTTTTGAGTGATTATTATTGATTTATGAAAAATGAAGATTTTGGAAAACTATTCCCATACACACAGGTTCTGTAAAAGGTTTGAAATTGCAGTGTACCTACCTGTCTCAAATAATGAAAGCATACCTAAAGAAGCAAATGCAGCTAGTTTTTTATCGGCTAATCTTTTAGTCTAGCCACCACCCGCAGCGTCCAAACCACTTTTCTGGATCCGCAAAGGACCATTGAGGGTCCTACGAGACCGTTCCAAGAAGACCGTGTTTAGAAGTCCCTTGGAAACCGACCACATAGGGACTCCTCTAGAGACCTATACATGACTCCCCAGACTGAATGAGCCCTCCGATCAGGGTCGGTCCCTTGAAAGTTGCTGAAAGGTTTCAGAAGGCAGTATAGGCTCGAAAGTCTTTTGAGGGCTCTCAGAAACCGGCATCGGACCCAAAAAAGCCTGTATCGAGGCCCTCCAAAGCCGGGATGGAGGCCACAGGAGCCGATGTTTAGCCTAAAGAGCCGGTATGGAGGACTGAATAGAGGAAAGGGGTCTCAGTGGGGCCTTCAGGGGCACGCGTTTGAGCCCCAAAAGTATGTGTGGGGTCTTAGAGGCAGGTAGAACCCTGGGGTATGCACGGGGTCCCAGGAGCTCGCGTGTGAGCCCTAATATTCGGCTGGCGGCTACTAGAACCAGCATGGGGATTCTTAGAAGCCGCTTAGACCCACATTTCATGGGTCATGAGTCCCAAGAGTCGATGTAGTGTAGGGGCCATAAAAGCCGGTGTAGGGCCCATGGCCCCATAAGTTCCGACATTGAGACTCTCAGACGCCGGCGACGGGGCACCAAGAGCAGATAAAGTGCCTCAACAAGCCGACATGGGGCCTGAGAATCAGTGTAGAATTCCAGGAGCCTGCGTGAGCTCTCGGAGACCTTCGCATTTCGTAAGGTCCACAAAGGTCGCTGGATCCTCTGAATCTGAGCTCTGCGTGGCCCTCAGAGGCCAGCATGTCTCCTGGCACCTGCCTGCGTTGAGTTGAGACCCTCCGAGGCCGTCGTAGGGTTCTTCAGAGGCCAGTGTTGGCCCTTGAAACCTTCGTTAGGCCCTAGAAGCCGTCAAGAGGGCCCTCAGAGGTCAGCATGGCCCCTGGAGCCTGCCTGCGTCGAGGCCCTCAGAGGCCGTCGTGGGGCCCTCAGATGCCAGTGTGGGCCTTTGGAGCTTGCGTTTGGTATTAGAGACCATCGTGAGGGCCCAGAGAGGTCGTCGTCAGGGCCCTCAGCCCCTCAGGAACCGTCCTGGGTCCTCAGAAGTTGTTGTGAGGGCCTTTAGAAGCCTTCGAGAGGATCATCAGAGGTCGTCATGAGGGTCCTTGGTCATATTGAGGGTCTTCATGGGCCCTAAGATACCTTTGCAGGGCTCTCAGAGGCCTTGGTAAGACCGCTAGAGGCCATTGTTGTTAGGGCCCTCAATAGACCGTTGCAGAGCCCTCAGATGCCAGCATAGCCCCTGCAGCCTGGTTGTGTTGAGGCCCTCAGAGGCCGTCGCTGGGCCGTCTGAAGCCAAATGGGCCTTCAGACTTGAGTTGGGTCTAGGGCCGTCACAAGGACCCTCAGAGACCGTCGTAGAGTCCCTCAGGGGCCAGTGGGGCTCCTGGAGTCCTGTGGGACCCTCAGCGGTCGTCATGAGGGCCCTTAGTGGTCGTTATAGGGCCCCAGGGGACAGAGTTCGTCGTGAGAGCCCTCAGAGATCATCGTAAGGGCCCTCAGAAGCTGTCATAGGTGCCCTCAGAGGCCAGCGTGGCCCCTGGAGTCTCCTTGGGGCCCTGGAGTCTCTGTGGGACCCTCAGTAGTCGTCATGAGGGCCCTTAGTGGCCGTTGTAGGGCCCTAGGGGACAAAGCCCTCAGTTGGGAGCCCTCAGAGATCGTCATAAAAGGGCCCTCTGAGGCCGTCGTGGGGGGCCCTCAGATGCCGCGTGGAGCACCAAACGCGGCTCAGGACACTTCTAGCCGGTGTGGGGGCCCCAAAGACTAGCATGGGGCGCTCCTGACCATAATTGGACATACCGGATTATTCCACATCAGTGTTCGGTTCACGATCACTGGTTTTCAGGAGAAATGTATTGGATGGTGCGACGGGCCCCTTGTACGGATTTTGGGGGTGCAAAAAGATATGTTTGCACCCCCATGTTTTTCGATGGGGGTGCAGCTGCACCCCCTGCACCCCCTATTCCGCCGCCACTGTGGGCGTCTCTCCTTTCTAAGGATTGGTTCAAATTGTAACGTTTAAGTCATGGACATGACTTAGAGGGTAGTTACTTTTACATGATAGTTTATCAGTAGCCATTCCGATATTCCTTTAATGTTACATTGATTAAAAATATAGGTATTAGTCGGATGGCAAAAGTCGTCACCAGCACGTCATAATTAGCAATTTTTTCTTTTTACTATCTCCACATATTCATATTGATAACCATCGTCCTATTGCCAATGTTGCCAAAAACATCGGCTTTAGGTATGTTATAACATAAAGCCATAACATCGGCTTTACTATAGTTATCTTGTCGGTACTTTAGTACCGGATGGCACCTATCAAGATCGCCTGAAAAAAAAACAACCTACATCACTTTTATATCACTCTGATAAAACTATGACACTTAGGCGTTCCTACGACAAAAATTCAAATAAAAATTTCAAAATAACGGGAGCGACAAAAATTCCTGGGTTGGGTACAGCGTTACAGATGTGCTTAGGTATAACAAATCAGACGGTCTCCCAAAACCGCGTCTGAAACGATGCCGCTTAGCCGGCAATGCGTCTACCTACACGCTATCAGGCCCACGTCGTTCGCGGCGATAGCTTATCACAAGGTGCGTGACTGAGCGCTTTACGGTTGGGCCGTCGCTGGGCAGGTCACACTGCTATCAACGCCCCACATCCGGTAAAAATGGCCGATCACTACGGGGCGCCTTCAGCCACCACAAAACCCCTGCGGCACATCTCGTTGCACGTAAGTGCTCAGTCTGATCACGGCACGGTGTGCCCGGACGCAGCCGAGGGAGGTCACGACAAACCCGTGCGAGCCCCCTGTCAGGTCAGCTCCGGTCGGGTCAGGTCACCGGCGGCGCATCGGCACCCAGTTGGTGGCGCCAGCCAGCTGGATCTCCAGCAGCGGCGCGTGCCGATCGCCCCGGGAGAGGTGCGTCTGTCGCTCTGGCACCAGCACCGTGCCGCCGGCCAGGTAGGCGCCCCAGAAGCCGTACGTGCCCACCGTCACCACCGAGTGGTTGCAGGCCGACAGCAGAGCCATGTCCCGGCCCGGGTCGCCGATGTTGCGATTGCCGGCGATCACGATGTCGTCGTTCTGCTTGGCGTTCATTTGCTTAGCGACGTAGTTGAGGTCGTCGGAGCAGACGATAAAGAGCGCGTCGCTGAAGCGCTGGCGGTAGTAGGTTAGCGTCTTGTTGAAGTATAGGTCGTCTGGCAAGGTGCTGTTGTACTGCTTTTTGATGTAAGCCTGGTAGTCAGTGCGCCGCACGTGGAATCCAATGTAGGTGACGGAGCTGCGGTTGCCGCGCGCGTGCCACAGAAACTCCTGAGCCTGCTTCTGCAGCGCGTCCGAAAACCGAAACTCCCTGCGGATCTCGTCGTAGAACGGGTGAAAGACGTCGATGCCGTTGCGGTCCGGGTAGTTGGTGATCCGGTAGAAGCGAGACTCGGTGCCCTCGCCCGGCTGGCACTCGAGTTTGGACGGCGCCTGCTGGTATGTGATGTCCTTCCACTTGGTATCGTTCGGAGCGGATTGCAGCGAAATGTCCGGAAAGTACTTGTGCAGCGTGGACCACATGTGACTTTCCACGTAGCCCGTGGTGCCGTACATCCGGCTAAAGCTGTAGACGATGGCGTAAAGGCCCATCAGGTTGCCGAGCCGGCCGATCGGGTGGTACATGACGGCCTTGTTGCAGCCCATCGTGTCCAGCTCCCGGGGCAGCGCTCCGCCCACCTGCTCGCACACCCAGCGCATCACCTGGCGCACGTCCGGGGCCAGACCGGTGACACTCGCCCGCAGACGGTCGCACGCGCCGCGCAGAGAGTCGGCTGCCGAGGCGTTGACGGCGGTCCGCGGCTCGGGGTCCTTCGCATAGTCCGGCTGTGCCGCTACCGCCCGCGGCTGCGTCGGTACCGCCTCTGGCTGCGTCGGTACCGCCTCTGGCTGCGCCGGCGCCACCGCGCCGTCCTTGGCGTTCACTTCAGTCCGCTCGACGGTCATTTGCCACTGTCCGACTGCTGGTCGGGGCGAGCCCACGGGTCCAAGTCGCGGCTGGGCCACCAGCAGCACTAGTACCAGCACCAGCACGGCGGCCACGGCCAGCAGCAGCCGCTGGCCGCTGCTGCGACACACAGACATGGCTTATCTATAGTACACCACACCCTCACCTCGGACGGCCGGCCGCCGACTGGCGCCCCGTGGGCGCCCCCGGGGCCCCGAGACCCGCTCTGTCACCGACCGACGCTGAGAAGCGAGCGTGCGCCCAAGGTGCCGCGCAGCGCCTGCGCAGTGCGCGCCCGCCCGCCCGCCGCCCGCTCCGCGCCGCTCTACATCAACGAACTAGACCTGCGTCCTGCCACTTACCCGCACTATCGAACACAGCCTGATGAAATCAGTGCTCAGTTCGGCCATGCATCTCTTCTTTATATTGCAGATGTGCATTATCCAAATTGAACCAAGTTCTATTAATCCTCGCCTCGCTAGACGAAGGACTTTTTCATACTGCGGACGGCGAGGGGGGAGGGGGTAGCACGACCCCTGTGGCGATTGGCTTATCTTAGAAACACCAAATTTACAGGCTAGCTGGGCCCATAAGAAATCAACAGTGCACTCAGCACGTCAATGCACATCGAATTGTATAGTGAATTAAAGGGACCCTCCCACCTTCAAAAAAGTTTATGAATTGGCATGAAAGTGATGTCGCTCGGTTCAGAAAGAGCGAAAACGAAGATCTACCAAATTTCACCGAAAAATATTCACCGGTTTTCAAGATATTAGACTTTTACTTTTGTTTACTTTTTTGGGATCTCCGCTGTTTCTAGCGACTTTATTTTAGAAGTGCGGCGTTTGCGGCAGATGTTGCGTGCAAATAGCATATACCACCGCGTGCTACAAAACGTTTTAGTCAAACATTTAAAAATCGTTAGATATTTGCGCTGACGTCACACATTCAGAGGGGTATACCTAAGCATTAGCCCCTCTGAATCAAAATGTTGCAATTTTGAAATTCAATATTTCCGATTTAAGGCATTTCTCGATGTTGTGAGTGCCGAAACCGGTAATTGTGAGCCAGGGACCCCATTTTGGCTATCTCAACTCAAATCTAATGTTAAGGTGGGAGGGTCCCTTTAACATTTAGTAACACATTAATTTAATAGGACTCATAAGCCCATCAAAATGCATCTCGTATCGCATATCCTTCGACTCGGTGATCACATGGAACACAATTACACCATTTTTGAAGCTCTTGCCTCATTGTGTGCCAATGGGATATCTCATTCATTGCCTCATTGTGTGCATTTCGTGCCTCATAAGCCAAGGAGATGCGCCTTTTTATGAACGACATACTAAACACTTTGAAACATCGGTGATCGGGCTGTAGGTAATTATGACACACGGAATCGGAAAATTGCATCTGTGACCCCTCTCTATGCCGCTAAATTCATCTTAGGTCACGAAAGGTCTCTAGCAGTTTTTTGACAATAACCTTTGATAGCTAGACATGCTAGAGCGATAAATACACCTTAGATTTGTTCAGTCACAGACCTCCTCTCTCTCTCTCTCTCTCTCTCTCTCTCTCTCTCTCTCTCTCTCTCTCTCTCTCTCTCTCTCTCTCTCTCTCTCTCTCTCTCTCTCTCTCTCTCTCTCTCTCTCTCTCTCTCTCTCTCTCTCTCTCTCTCTCTCTCTCTCTCTCTCTCTCTCTCTCTCTCTCTCTCTCTCTCTCTCTCTCTCTCTCTCTCTCTCTCTCTCTCTCTCTCTCTCTCTCTCTCTCTCTCTCTCTCTCTCTCTCTCTCTCTCTCTCTCTCTCTCTCTCTCTCTCTCTCTCTCTCTCTCTCTCTCTCTCTCTCTCTCTCTCTCTCTCTCTCTCTCTCTCTCTCTCTCTCTCTCTCTCTCTCTCTCTCTCTCTCTCTCTCTCTCTCTCTCTCTCTCTCTCTCTCTCTCTCTCTCTCTCTCTCTCTCTCTCTCTCTCTCTCTCTCTCTCTCTCTCTCTCTCTCTCTCTCTCTCTCTCTCTCTCTCTCTCTCTCTCTCTCTCTCTCTCTCTCTCTCTCTCTCTCTCTCTCTCTCTCTCTCCTCTCTCTCTCTCTCTCTCTCTCTCTCTCTCTCTCTCTCTCTCTCTCTCTCTCTCTCTCTCTCTCTCTCTCTCTCTCTCTCTCTCTCTCTCTCTCTCTCTCTCTCTCTCTCTCTCTCTCTCTCTCTCTCTCTCTCTCTCTCTCTCTCTCTCTCTCTCTCTCTCTCTCTCTCTCTCTCTCTCTCTCTCTCTCTCTCTCTCTCTCTCTCTCTCTCTCTCTCTCTCTCTCTCTCTCTCTCTCTCTCTCTCTCTCTCTCTCTCTCTCTCTCTCTCTCTCTCTCTCTCTCTCTCTCTCTCTCTTATATATATGTTACAGGCAAAGTGAAAAACCAGGCATTTTGCAAAATGCCTAGGCAATTTGCAAAATGCCTGACCGACTAGGCATTTTGCAAAATGCCTGGGCAGTTTGCAAACTGCCTGGCCCACCAGGCATTTTGCAAACTGCCTGAAATTATTTTCCCAGGCAGTTTGCAAAATGCCTGACATCAAACTCACACCAGCGACGATGCGTAAGCATCTGTAAGTGCCGCTTATAGAGGTTTATCACAAGCGATGCGCACCAGGTGGGAGGACGCACAGTGAGACATTCTCCGGGTAGCGCTGCCGAGTTCTAGGTCACTGAGCCCCAGGCAGCGTCCCGGCCTCCGCGCCGGCTGCCGGGCGCCCGGCGCGGTTTTATCGGTAAACACGCGTTAAAGGTAGTGTGCCACCTTTGAAAGATTTCCCATTTTATTTTTCCTAGGATAAGAAGCTTCCGTTTTTACCTAATATCGCAAAAAAATAAAAATGGGCCTGGAATAGTGCCTTTTTCGCCTAAAAGTTTTTCGGTTTTTAGATATGTATAACAACTGTAGTGGGCTCACCTGCAAACAGGCGTCGGGCAACAATCGCGAATGCGGCGCACTTGTGACAATAAGCAAAGGTCATTATAGTGTTACGACCATACGACGTACGGGAATGAGTTATCAGCTGTCTAATCGTAGACAACACAATGTCGAGCCTTAAACTGTAAGCCCGTATTGGTATTGTTTCTTTTATTTGGCTGTCGAACATTATTTATGGTTTGAAATATGATTTTATGTAAAATAATTGATATGAAAAAGCCGTCTTATAAGTTATGACCCCATTTCACCACACGCAAGTGGCAGAAATGACAATGATCAGCTGACGCATTTTTCTTGGCCGAAGTCAGAGCGCGCGGCCCGACGCACCACGCGTATTTGGAAATTCCGACCTCGACGAGCATCAGAAGCCACCTAACAGGCGTGTTCGAAACCGCAGGAGATGATGATGAACGGGTTTATCGAAACTTGATTGGATGAGCATATCGGTAATAGCGATTTCAGTGTGTGCATTTATTGTTCATAGTGGTGTGAAATGTGGTTGGGGTACGACCGACAACCCGTCGGGGCGAATTTCGCACTGGGGTACTCAAAATTTGAAGAATTTAAGACGTTTCCATGAGTTTTGAAGGTATGGATAAGTTCTAAAAATCCGGTTCTCCTTATCTGGGCCATTAACTCCATACGGTCCAAGAAAGCTGGCACACTACCTTTAAGGCTGAAACAGACTCTTTCCGCGTTCAGGAAATCGCATGCGAGTGCCTATTCAAATACATTGTAATTCTTCTCGCATCAATCGCTTGCGGGAGGTGCGTGCGATTGATGCGAGCGTGCTTCCATGTATTTGAATAGGCTCTCGCATGCGATTTCCTGACTGCGGAAAGAGTCTGTTTCAGGCTTTAAACACGGTACAATGTTTCTAAGAGCCTTGATGACTTTTTGAAAATACTTTGGGTTGATATTGATCAGAAAAGAATGTGCTTCGATCGGTGGCAACCCCGTGTCGCTGCAGCCCTCCGTTGCCGTGAATATAAGCACGGGAGGCGAGGAATGTCGGGTCAATATTCGGCCGGTCGCCGTTTTTCCATGTCCATGTTTCTCTGTGCTCTGCTCCGCGCCCCATCGCAGCATTCATACACACGGCTACAACTCCGTATACGAAAGGTAGGGAGACGTTGGCTCAATCTACACAGTCCATTCGGTACTAGCTCCATCTCGACGAAAGTGGCGCAAGACGTGGGTATATTCGTATTTCGTAAATATTGAACGTGTTTGGGGCTCAGGCACATGGGAACGTTTGTGGTCAACGCCTGCCGTCAACAAAAACGGTTAAAACAAATCAATCAAAACGCGGGCATTTTGCAAATTGCCTGACCCGCCAGGCATTTTGTAAACTGCCTAGGCAATTTGCAAAATACCTGGTGGGTCAGGCAGTTTGCAAACTGCCTAGGCATTTTGCAAATTGCCTAGGCATTTTGCGTCAATTTTGACAGATATGCAGGCTTAGCCCTCGCACCTGTGGGGGGGGGAGCTAGGGGGGTATGCAGGGGGGGAGTCGGATAGACCCCCTCGGTTTTTCGCGAATACTCGCGCAAAAAGCGGCCGATCGCGACAAACGTGTCAGTACCTTGAGTTGATCAATTTTACACCTACCCTGAAAATTTCATGACCCTGATCCGAATGACCTTTGACCTGTGACCTTTTCTTCGAGACCATGTTTGACCGGAATCGTGATTCGGTGTTTGTCAGCTCACATCCACGCGTTTCCAGTCTTTTTGTGATTGTAAACGTTCAAACGCAGCATCGTGTTCCTGTTGTCGAGACGCGTCGAATGAACTATTCGTTGACCTTATAAGGTTATTTTGAAAATTTGACATCAGGTGCACTGGCGGATCCAGGGGGGGGGCCACCGGGGCCATGGCCCCCCCCAAAAGCCTGAAAGGGGGGGGGCCAACATATCTTTTGGCCCCCCCCCCCAAAACGCTTGAAGAAAAATTAATGTGAGATGGTTGCGTAGTAGATACCTACTAGAATCAGCAGCGTGATTCAATAGCGTAGAGAAAGTCAGGGGTGCGGGAACTACTTTCAGACTGGGGGGGGGGGGCACACCATAATAGAGATCAACCTAGGGTCCCCCCAAATCTAGTTTCTCACCGGTTTTAGGCCACTTATTTTTCATCTCTTGGCTTTTTCAACAAAAAAAGAAAACATTTGCAAAAAGGGCGGTATTCCGTCTGAAAGTTGTGGTGGCACCGCCCCCCACTGGTGGATTCAGGGAGGGGGCCACCGGGGCCATGGCCCCCCCAAAAGCCTGAAAGGGGGGCCAACATATCTTTTGGCCCCCCTCCCAAAACGCTTGAA